AAGAAAGTAAATAAGGAAGTGTCGTTTACTTCTTCTTATAACACAAGAACTAGAGGTTATGAAATGAAATTAATAGGCAGCAGGTTTTAAACAAATAAAAGGAAGTATTTCTTCACACAACACACAGTCAACCTGTGCAACTCCTTGCCAGAGAATGCTGTGAAGGCAAAGACTATAAGAGGTTTTAAAAAAAGAACTAGATAAATTCATGGATAGGTCCATCAGATGCTATTAGCCAGGATGAGCAGGGATGGTGCCCCTAGCCTCTGTTTACCAGAAGCTGGGAATGAGCAACAGTGGATGGATCGCTTGATGATTCCCTGTTCTGTTCATTCCCTCTGGGGCACCTGGTATTGGGCACTGTTGGAAGACAGGATACTGGGATAGATGAACCTTTGGTCTGACCCAGTATGCCCATTCTTATGTTCTTATGGGCGTGGGATTGTGCCGGACCCCGCTCCCCCTAGGGATGGCCCTACTGGGCACAGCCTGGAGGGGGCCGGCCAGGGGATGGGGCTGGCTGCTGGAGCTGGAACGCAGCATGCATCTGCGTAGGGCACCAGGACCCCAAATTTCATGGTACCCTATGCAGCTGCGTATATTATGTATTGGTAGGGATGGCCCTGGGTAAGACATGGTGCCACAGAAGACTTGTTAGCTCTGTCTGGGGTAGGTGGTACATGCTGGGTTGAGGAGCTGAGCCCCTCACCTTCTGACCCTGCCAATACCTCTGGTTGTTCTTGCTGCTGCTCCCACCTCCTGCTCCTCTCAGTCACCCTTTCCCCGGCTGGATGCAGCAGGTGGAGCAGCCAAGGGGCAGCAAAACTCAGGTTTAGATCCAGTGTAGGAAACAGAAGCTGCCTGCACTCAAACATGGAGTCTGCTCCACACACACCATCCCAGACCTGCAAAATGTCACCACCCCTTTGCCCTCGTTTCAGTAGACACATCCAGCTATTATTGCTAAAACTTGAGTAGAATACCAACCACTCCTATCTGCTTCCTTCTGCCCCTTCTTATCCCAGCTGCTGGGCAGTAGGAGTAATAAGAGCTTTAACCAGTTTTTTAGAAATTGGGTTTAAGACAAGGAAGTGTGTGAACATCTAGAAAGGGTTTGTGGTGTGTAGAGTCACTGCTTTTAAGCGATGGCTGACAGGGATGTGTGGATATTTAGCTGCGCAGCAAAATGGTGAGTCAACTGAACTGCTCTAAACATGCAAAGGCTTCAAGAATTAACTCCCACTGCAGAGCACATGGCCAAAGGAAAGATCACCCGGCTGGGAGTCTAAAGAGTCCTAAATAATAGCCCTCTCATTGACTGTCCTAACAACAGTTTATACTTGCAATGCACGTTGCAGACATTATTAGTTTAGCCTCACAACACACAAATGACAGGGAAATCTCCCTGCCTCCCAATTTATCAAGAGGGAAACACAAGGTGAGTGCTAGGGCCCCAACATCAAACAGCAAGTTGGTAGAAGAGTCAGGATAGAACACAGGAGCCCTCAATGAGTCTCACATGCGGACTCCCCTAGGTCACATTGCCTCTCTGGTAAATCACTTGCCTTTGCTGTGCATGACAGCTAAACCACCATTCGGGTATGTGAACCATGGTAAATGCATATAAAAATGAGAGCATGTGCTAGTACAGGCATTTGAGCATACGGTGCTCATGCCCCCACCCCCACCACTCTCTGAAAATGTGGCCCTTTATATTAGAAGGAAAAATATGTTTTTTTCCTGAAGTTTAATGAACAAAGGTAAATAATGTTCCCTACCCAGTACTCCTGGACAGCCTCCTCCATAGGAACCACTGTGTGAGCTCGGTGAGCCTGGGATCTCTCACACACCATGCAGATGGGGATCTGATCCTCTTTGCAGTAGAGCTTCAAAGGCTCTTGGTGTGTCTCACACATATTTTCTTCTATAGGGTTTCTCAGTCTTTCTGAACTTAATAACTGGGGTATTGAGTCCACAATATTCTTCAGCTCCCTGTTTGGCCTTAAGTTGCTCTTTTGGAACGTCTGCCTGCACTGCGGACAGACAATGTCGATCTCCTTTTCCTCGCAGAGCTGAGCGATACATTCTCTGCAGAAGCTGTGTCCACACTCAGTAGTCACCGGGTCTGTAAATAAATCCAAACAGATGGAACAAGTAGCTTCATCTTTAATGTTTTTTGCAGGATCTGCAGCTGCCATGGTCCTTTGTACGAGAGAATGAACAAGTTCCCTGTTCACATTCTCCACAATGTGTTCATCTCACAGCAGAAAGGTGCCTCGCTCCTCAGCAATCAGGTCAGTCCAAAGGTCCAGCTGCAGTTTTATTGGTCAAATTCCATGGAGCTACTCCCAAGAGACTGAACCTTCGTGCTCTGAGCTGAGGAACATAGATAAGCTTATCCCCATATCACTGAGAGGCCCTCCACCCAGGGAAAACGGGAGGGACACAGTGGCCCCATCTGTGTTAGGGAAATTATCCATTGTTTCACAATAGTTGTCAACAAATGATTCATCTCATCCTTGAACTGTTTTTGAAACCAGCAATCTGCCCGTGAAATGAGGTACAAATCATTTCAGCCACACTTGAGACAGTGTAACAGGGCCTGTCCACCCTAGACAACATCAAGTGTTTTTCTCTTTCAGCAGGCCCACACTGAAGGGACTAGTAAGTGTGAGCATCTGCCGTGTGTGCAGGGCTGAACCCAGGTCCTCAGCTAACTAAAGTGAAGGGGGAGAAGGTCTGTGAACCTGGGCTGAGGCAAAAAACTTGAACTCGTCAACCCCAGTGTCCTAAATGCCCCAACAGAGGCACATAGAGAGACACAGAATGTTCACCTACGAAAATCTGTGTTAAACTGCAGTTCAGGTAGCTGCTGCACAGGGAGGGCTTCTGCTTCGTGTGGCACATGGGATTCAGTATCTCAGGCTACGTCTACATTAGAAACTTCAAAGCACTGCCACGGGAGGGCTCCCAGGGCAGCGCTTTGATGTGCGAGTGTGGTCGTGCGCGAGCTCTCCCAGCACTCCTGGTAATCCACCTCCACAAGGGGAACAGCTCCCAGCGCTCGGAGCCTGTCCATACTAGCGCTTTAAAGCACTCAGACTTTCTGCTCTCGGGGAGGTGATTTTTCACAGACTTAAGAACACCTGGAAATGCAGTTACAGGTGCTGCTTCACACCCAGCACCTGCACTTACCTAAGCACAGCCCTTTTCTCCCCTCACTATCCACAGAGTGCCCCCTCCATGATTTCATTCTTATCTGGAATCTCCTGAGTATTCTGGTGTCTACCCTAGCTACTTTGGACTCCTCCCCCACAGGGACTTTTTCTCTCTTCCTTTGGTCATTTTGTAAGTGGACTGTTATCCCCTTACTAAGTTTCAGAGCTCCCAGTACCAAAAGGGGAGGGATCGATGGGACTGACAGTCCCCAGGGGCAATGGGGAGAGGCCAATGCTCCAGATCAGCCTGATTGACAGGGTGGGCAGCTAATCAGGGAGTCAGGAGGCCAGGGGGGGTCCCGTCCGTCTGTGTGAACTGGAATGGCCTGGGTCAGACTGAGTGGGGCTGAGCTAAGGAGAAAGGGGTCCAAGCTGAGCTGGGGAGCAGAACCACGCCAGATCCAGAGCGGCCAGAAAAGCAACCCTGTGCTAGAAGCAGAGCTGCAGCCCCAAAGCCAGAGCACAGCCCAGAGACACAGACCTGTCCTGGGGGCAGAGCTGTGCCAGAGCCAGAGGGGCCAGACAAGCAGCCAGGAGGCAGGTCAGGGATGGCCACCTGCTCTTTCTTGCCTGCTGGGTCTGAAGCCGCAGCCTCCCTGAGCCGTGTCCCTGGGCGTTCCCTCCCCACCAGGTTAGGGTCCTGCACCTCAGGCGAGGCACCCTCCCCAAGGCCAGGGCGCAGTGCCCCTCGCCAGCTCTGTCCACGGGTCATAACCAGGGCACCCTGTGGGTTGCTTGGCCAGTCCTCCAGGTCCCCCCCCATCAACACCTCAGTGGGCAAATACAGGTGTACCCCCACGTCCTTGGGGCCCTCCTTGGCCCCCCACTTCAGGTGTACCCTTGCCACGGGCACCTTGAATGGGGTCCCACCCACCCCCGTCAGGGTCAGGTAGGTGTCGGGCACCACCCGATCTGGGGCCATCACCTCGGTCCAGGCCAGCGTCACCTCTGCGCCTGTATCCCAGTATCCATTGACCTTCCTCCCATCCACCTCCAGGGGAACAAGGTACTCTCTCCGGAGGGACAGCCCCGCGCCCACCCTATAAACCAAAAACCTTGAGTCTGGAGCATTCAGCCCTCCAGAGGAGCTGGCCTGGAGCTCTCCTCCCTCCTTAACAGGATCCATTCCCGCAGATCAAAGAGGCAGACAGAGCGCGCAGTACAAAAAACATTGAAAGATGGCACCAAATGTGGACGGAAGCACAGGGATTGCTGGGATGCGAACCGATGCATCACGGGGTATTGGGACAGGACCCAGAATTTCCCTCACCCCACGCCCCCTTCCCACAAGCCACAGTGCCAGAATGGGAAGAGGTGCTCTGTGGGATAGTTGCCCATAATGCACCGCTCCCAATGCCACTGCAAGTGCCGCAAATATGGCCACACCAGTGCGTTTGCAGCTGACAGTGTGGACACGCTGCAGCGCTTTCCCTACTGTGCTCTCCGAGGGCTGGTTTAACTCACAGCGCTCTACATCTGCAAGTGGAGCCATGACCTTAGCTATGCTGAGTGAGCTGGAGTGAGACATCCACAAGTCTTGTTCCTCCACCTAGCAGAATCTCTCAGCCAGGCTCTCATCACCTCCTTTCTCTGGCCTGGTCTACACTACGACTTTAATTCGGATTTAGCAGCC